GCCGAAAAGGATGCATAACAATAAATTACTATTGCGTCGACAATAAATTAAAGTCATTTAGTACAAACGCAACTTAAAAAAAGACTTATTCTGTTCTCACGAATGTAGTAATCACACAGGTAAAAGCGGAAATAATACAACTAACAGGCGACGTTCATGATCAACTACTAACTAATGCGTAAAACATGGGTCACTTTAGGAAGGCAAATTCCGTGATGAAATCATTGGCGTTTTGTATTTATAAATTTGAAAATTTAACTACAGACTTCGATGGTTTACGTCTGCCGATAAACTTGCTTGACATGACAGTAAAATTCTATATTTTATGGCCGACTTCGCCTTCCGAAACTGATCTCAATACTACTACGTAACTACTCTGACAACCTAAAAACCAATAACAAAGACTAGATTATAAATTAATGTTAAAAACACTGAAACACATACAAACTTTCAGACAAGATTATCTGACAACCTCATAACCAGTAGCAAACGGTAAATTGTAAATTAATAAACAAAAACTAGAAACCTATATACAATAACAATGACAATACAAACTGCTAAAAATTACAAAGGAAGAAAAAAATAATCGCTTTCAAAATTTGCTAATACTAAGGGTGTGTTCCGAAATATAACCCAACATACTGGTTAGTGCTGATGACGTCATAAATCGACGCCATATTGTACTGGTGAGACAAATGTGATGTAGTAGTATATCAAACGGGCGTGTGTGCATCAGACTTTGAGGAATTTTTTATTGTAAGAAACTTTAATAACTTTTAGAGCAAAATTATTGTAAACGAACACAAACACTATTGTCAATATGGCGTCAATTTGACATCAATGCACTGGCCAGTATATTTCGGAACGAATCAACAGTATGGCGTCGATTCATTACGTCATCAGCACTGGTCAGTATGCTGGGTTATATTTCGGAACACACCCTAAGTTTAATGTTCAAAATAAGGTTCCATAAATAATTTATTAGTAATTTTAAATTCGAAATTTAGGTCAAATCAAATAAACAGATGGTTTCAATAAATTATATCTCTTAATCGAAGCGGATCATCTATTTCTGTAGAATGCCTTGGATTTAATATTTATACGAATTAATTAATTACTTTTGCAAGTAGAATTTTTTGAAGAATAAGAAATTACTCAACATTTGCAAATAATCCAGACATTTCAATTTATTTACTCATTTACCTGCTATTCTATTTTCTCCCGATGCTATTATTTATTATTTATCTGGACACCCTGTATATGGGACCCGAAGGGTTTCATGTACTTGAAATCTCGCCAATTCAATTAGAATATCGATACATACACATAAGTGTGCAGCAACAGCATGCATAAAAATTGGTAATTTGCTACTTGTAATTTACCACATCAATTAGCACATGGAAGTCGCTGAATCTACCGTACCTCTAATGGGTTAGTTACTAGTCAATTAGTGTAATTACCTGGAGCCAGACATAAATAATTATAAGATTATTTAAGAATTTAACACGCGTGTATTAAACCTGCAAGATGAATGTTGTAATTTTTGTAGCATATTTTCTTTTTGAAACAATTTAAAACCCAAAAATTTCTGCAACCAGTTATTATCATTGGTAGATAATTCAGCTGTTTGATCCTAAAATATTATCTCATTAAAATTACTATAAAACTTACTTATTTAAGATCAAAATAAATTGTTAAAGAATTTCTGTAGAACTCCAAAATTAAATCTCAATACAAAGTACATAGAAAATCTATTACTAGGACAAAATAGATTATTTTTCTTGATATAAGTATATTAAACCGATATTTTTAATGATTGGGTGCCGGATGGGGTCCCGACGACTATAATTCCTTATAATAAGATGTTCATCATCATCACATGGAACGAAAACCGGTTGGGTACACACCTCTGCTTCTTGAACCAATCTTTGCATTTCATGAGAAAATAAAGCAACTTGGCTCTTTACCTATTTGGGAACAATAATCTAATCTAATCAGTCTATTTCTGCCAGCCTTAACTCATGTTTCTGCTTCTATGGTCTTTATGGTACCTATTTATAATAAATATTAGTTCTTGTATATGTACCACTGTCAAAATAATATTATTATAACAAGAAAATTAAATATATTTAATACCACATAAAACCATTAGCGATAAACTAAAGCGATAAATATTCTGAGGTAATGTTTGTTTGAATTTTATTTTCATTCAATTAGCAAAGTTTATCTAACAATCAAAACTTGTGGTCGAATTTTCACCCATTTTCCATTACCTACCCGCTTTAGATCGAATTTCACGAGAGGATAATGTAGTTTGTACAACAACAGAAAATTAGGTAAAAACCTCATTGATTTAGGTAACTGAGGACAATATGAAATATGTGAGGCAATCATTAGTGACGATAATTATATGCACTGTTTTGTACTAATCGTACTGATCCAATTTCCAATTGTTTTAAATGTGACTACGAAATAATATAACCAAAGTGCACTTTTGGGCAAAAATAATATAAAAGACTTCACGATTTTACGTCTAAAGAAACTAGAACGAGTTAGTAATACGAATGTGAGAACTTTTCTCAGTTGAAAAACACTTTATTAGACAATTTCCAGCGTTTTCCCCTTTGATGGAGGGCACTATCAAATCAACAACCAGGCAACAATATCATCATCTTCTTAATAAAACAATTACAAACTAAATTGTGCTCTATTGGTTTAACACAATTAAAAATCTATCTTTACTGTTTATTTTAATAATTTTTTTAATATTTATTTTCATTTTCGTTAAAGTACTGACAAAAATAACAATTGCGATGAAAAGACTACTGTGATCACTAATTAAACCATTTTTATTAGCAACAATGAAAAAAAAAGGCTTCTAACGGAGTTAAAATATAAATACCTAATATTGATTTTAATAATGGATACTTAACGTATAACCTTGTGGAGATATCTCTCACCATTTTTAACAACAAATTTAGCTTTCCAACTTTATTTTTTCATTGGCAATTTTGGTGTTTTCAAAAAAAAAATAAGTTGATTGAATATCGACACTCATCTATTTCCATTTCAGATTATTAGCTCAGTAGGTCGGATACATTGGGAAAGCATCCCACTTTGGAATAATCAATTACCAAAAGTACGAAATATTAATTAAATAAAATTAATTCGAACTTTTTAGTAGATACGTAGTGAATAACTGTACTGCTCAAATTATTTAGTACATGTAGTTAAAAGTTTCTTATAAACTGCCGTATTAAATTTATTGTTTACTAATATATTGTAATGGTTTTCTTCCAGAAATTTTAAGGTACAAATTAGGTTTTATTTAATTGTTGATTTTAGTTTTCATCACAACTCTGACGGACTAACTTAAACTCGATATTACCTAATTACGACTTTTAAAAATCAAGATGCGTAACTTATAAAACTTTTAGAAAAGNTACGTACGTACGTACGTACGTACGTACGTACATACACACATCATCAAAAAAATTGGCTAGCATGCTACTAATATGTTAAAACGTGGAAATATAATGAAAATTCCGATTTCACTTTTCGACCCAATTACAATAACTTCCTAATGGGAAGTTAATAAGTTGATTGAATATCGACACTCATCTATTTCCATTTCAGATTATTAGCTCAGTAGGTCGGATACATTGGGAAAGCATCCCACTTTGGAATAATCAATTACCAAAAGTACGAAATATTAATTAAATAAAATTAATTCGAACTTTTTAGTAGATACGTAGTGAATAACTGTACTGCTCAAATTATTTAGTACATGTAGTTAAAAGTTTCTTATAAACTGCCGTATTAAATTTATTGTTTACTAATATATTGTAATGGTTTTCTTCCAGAAATTTTAAGGTACAAATTAGGTTTTATTTAATTGTTGATTTTAGTTTTCATCACAACTCTGACGGACTAACTTAAACTCGATATTACCTAATTACGACTTTTAAAAATCAAGATGCGTAACTTATAAAACTTTTAGAAAAGTAGGTTAACTATAAAAACTACAAATTAAAAATAGACCAAATGAAACGGAAGCAAAACATAGAAAGATTTTCCTCATGTGACAATGATAAGTTTGTTTTGGACGAATAAAATGATATTACTTATTATGTGAAGCGGGAAGTGATTATGAATACTAGTATACGAACACACAAAAATATTCGTATAGTTTAACAGAAGAATAATGAGCTCGGGCACATGTACAATGTAGATTATATGAACTTATGTTATATAACGAAATAAATATTAATTAATTCAGTAAATTAAAACATTCAAAGAAACAAAAAAATTTATTCGTTTTACGTTAGCCGTTTAAACACAGACTTTAAAGAAAAATTCGAGGTAACATGATAAAAATTGAAAAATTCTAAATTTACTCATTTTAAAAATACCTTAGCGAGAACGTATTACCAATGTTTATTTACTCAGTTTAGTTTGTTTTCATTGTTGTAGCTTTTCCCCCAGATACTTACTTCTTTTTCGCTAAATAATAAATGTAGGTAAAATTTTAATCTTTGAGCTTTAAGGACTTAAATTCCTAATCTATTTTTAAACAACATACTTACTGAAAATACTTCAAAAAATAGATCGAAATTTATTTATTTGAAAACAAATAAGAAATCCCAATTGTATTCTAAATGAGTTCTACATATTATTCGATAAAAACTTTTTGAATAATACTAATAATTTTAAAAAGTTTTAAATACAGATAAGTAGAAGCGAAGAATAAATTCTCACTTAAATGTTTTTGTATTTGGAAAATAAATTTGTACAAAATTAATGANATGTTAAATGATATATTAAAATTTTGTAAACTAAATGTTTTTGTGTTCCATTACTAGTTAAGACAACTTAGAATCTATATATAATGCTTTTATATTTTTATTCGCAATTCTTTGAAATTATTTAATTATCGTTAAAAAAGAAACCATGAAAAACTTAATTTTAAATGAAGAAATAGCGCAGATTATTTAACTCACCAAGTAATTCTTCTTTGCTTCCAAACTGATACAATATAGAACTTGAACTTTTCAAACTTCTTCTTCGGCTTCAACACACCGCACCTGTGCTCACAGCTAACTACTGTAAACTTAGAGAGGATACACACGCAAGGACGACGCCGGACAGGGAGTGGGGTAATTTGATCGAGTAGCCTCAGAAAAACCACTATCAATTTGCCCCACTGTCACATTACGAAATGCACTCGCGACTTAGCAAAATTTCACTAATTTTAAGTACAAAACGTCAAAAAAAAATCATAATTTGACTGCATGTTTTTTGTGTGAATGTTGTCCGATTTTTTTGTCTATTGGATAGGTCAAATCTCAAGGGTGGCACTATTTAAATTTGAAGAAAATATTTCACCGTCATCATCAATATTATCCTTAGGTCTTCAGCCAAAAGCCTAATTGGAAACACGCCTCTAGTTCTACCTACTTCCTAATAAGTGTCTCTAACAAACCAATTTTGTCTAAGAAGGTCTCCTACCAGCATATTTCGCCTATTTTTTATTGACTTCAGTAGATAGGCTACCTTCGTCCTAGACCAAAATGCCATGTATTTTCTTATGAAAAAGTAAAACGTGCACAGAATGGACGAAAATGAACCTTTATAAGCAAATACATAGAATTTTAGTCCAGACCAAAGGTGACCTATCTACTGACTTCCATAACGTCTTCATCCCAAAGACTAATTGGAAACACATCTCCATTTCTTCCTATCGTGAGTCAATCTTCACTCTAATATATGTATATCTCTAACTATCCCATCATGTCTTAGAAACTGTCCTATTAATCTACTTCACCTATTTCTTATTAACTTCTATAACGTCTTTAGTCCAAAGACTAATTCAGAACACACCTCTATTTCTTCCTATCCTATATTTATATATACGAGGGCGGTTCAATAAGTACCCGTGTTAGAAAAGAAGAGACCTTTTTTTAATTTTTCAACATAGTCCCCTTTTAGAAAAATACACTTCTCCCAACGTCCCTGCCATTTTTTTTACCTCTCCAAAAAATAAGATTTGTCGAACTCTCCAAAATCCCCCCCCTGTCTCGACGATGACTTCCTCGTTTGAGCTAAATTTTTTTCTCGCGAGTCATTTTTTCATGGTAGGGAACAAGACGAAGTCGCAGGGAGTCAAATCGAGTGAGTACGGGGTATGCGGTAGCAGTTCATAACGTAATTCATGCAGTTTGGCGGCAACAACTCTGATGAACGATGAATGTGCCGGTGCGTTATCGTGTTGAAAAAGCACCTTCTTTTTTAAATCATTAAAAACTTGCTTCGGACCATAACTTTTTGTGAATTTTATTAGATTATAAATATTCGGTCCCATTTTATAGAAGATGTATTGAAACATATCCTAATTTCGGCTAATTACTGTAAAATCCTTACCATACAATAATTTCCTGAATTTCCATAATATCTTGTAATTGTAATAGATGTTGTCTCTAAACCACTAACAAATTCTAATGGATTAAGCTCCTAAGAACGTGCCCAGCAGTCTTTTATGCACAAACTCCTAAGTTTTTTAATCAGAAAGTATCGTTTAATCTGAACACAACAGAAATGAACTCCGTGATGCTAATCGTTAACTAAGGATAGACCCAGGGTGTCAAAAAGGGCAACACGTTTTCAATTTGATCCCTTTTCATAACAGAGAAAACTGAAATTCTATTTTCATGTATAAATTACAATTTTTACTTCTTAATCATTATATTATTGGTAGAAGTAGTAAAATTTACTAATTCAATTGTAGTATCTCCAATACCACATGATTTCTTTTAGTCAAACCAAATATTTTTAATTATAATTTAATTTGTATTATCAACTAATTTCAATTTAATATTAAACATCAAACTGACATTAACTTAATATCCTCTATATATTACCCCAAACTGATGGGGTATTCGTATATATATTGATAATTTCATTTTATTCAAATGGAAAAATAATAATAATTTTTATCGATTTTGTTGTTATTATCATTTTTGTTTAAAAATAAGCAATAACAATAGCTTAGCTAAATTGCAAATTATGTCTCGCTGATATTCAGGTACATCTTCCTATTTTATTCTCTCCGTATTCCCCTTTTTGAAATGTTACTCTGGAAATAGAAATGACTTGAGAATAAATATTTTTCTTAATGTCTTTTCACATTTGGTGTAAGGTTTTTTCATCTAGATACGCCTGTGTTCCTACATTTTATGAATGTTTTCATAGCTTCTATAAATTCATGTATCGTCTCTATAACCAAGGTCAACTATAATATATAGTCACCCTGAAGAAGTTTCACACCGGAAGCGAAATGTTGACAATAAAAACTGATTTACCCTCAGCTGATTTTGATTTCAAGAATGTTAAATGATATTTTAATTTTTTTTTGCTACAATTATTTTCGAAGTACTTTGTAAGTAGATAAAGTTCATATAATCTTATCTGCCTATGTACAGAGTAATTATAAAACCGAATGTAACGATTATTAGTATCTCAACGATTTGTTGATTAGTTAACTGCAAACATTGTCTAAACTATTGTCCCTAAGATTACGTTATCATAATTACAGTTTAAATGCATCTTAACTTGTAATTATATTTACGGTAGTAATGTTGTCGTATGTTATTTGTGGCTGCGTTAAATCAACTGGAAAATGTTTAAATGATACGAGTTGTACTTCATGTTAGTAGTACATGCAAATACTTACATAATTATAGCTAATAAGTAGATACCTATATATCCTAATTTTATGCAATAATGTGTCCAACGTAACTAAGGCCAAGTAGACTCTGTTTATTAGATAAAATATACAAAGTAGTGGGACGAATTTTACGACAAATTGTAAGAAATAAGAACATGAAATGATACAATAACTAAATTTANCATCGTCCATGTTTCGCACCCGTACAGCGCCGCGCTCCAAACATACACCTTCAACAACCTTTTTCGAATTTCCAAATTAACCAATCGGGAGCATAGAAGTGACTTCTTTTTATTGAAGTCGACTCGATCCTGCGCTGTCCTACCGTCCTGACTTATCTGACTTCCTAGATACCTAAAATCAGCCACTAATTTTTCGTCTCTTATCTTTATAGCCGCTCTTTCTCTAATTTGTTACCGACTACCGCTATGGTGTAATATACTTCATAAAGTGTTTTAAATACATGTGTCTGCGACCTACGCAAACACTACTTCCGAGTAGCTATTAAGTGTATGTAGATTGTACAATGACAAATTTCATTAACTATAATACACGATAACGATTACAAATACAAATTACGTTCATGCGAGTAATTTTCTGCAATAGTAAAAATAAGTATTACACTTCTTTGAAATGTTTAAGTGTAAGTCCATTTGTAATTCCAACAAACACTAATCGTTCCTTAAATGACCTTATATCTATGCTATGTAAGTACTCATTTCTAACACAGGTATATAATTTTAAATACATGAAAGAGTATTTGCAAAATTGTCTCCCAATAGAGTCATCATCATCGGTAGATAATATAGTTCAGAACATCAAGGAAAACGTTAGAAAGTTCGCATGTGCTGCTATTGCACGAAAGAATACCATCAGTTAAAATAATCAAAAAATAAACAATGCGATGTAAAGATAGATATCTTAATATACACAGCGGTTTCACGTTTGTAACCGCCTAACTTATTGAGTGGGTAAATAACAAGGGAGAATTTTATAGTATGTTATAAATCATTTTTGTACTGGGGATCATTAATAAGTTGATTATACAATAGTTACTTAGGAAGCAAATAACACTGGTCTGCAAAAAAAAATTTCTTTTCTCTCATTGTTTTCATGCATGATAACATTATATTTGGTGCCCTAAACACGGAATTTAACATGCAAATAAATATAGCACATAGATTTTAAATATAATGCCTATTTAATTAAAAAACGATATTATCAAAGTAACACCAATTAAAAGAAAGTAAAAAAGACTACGGTGTAAGTTTTACAGCGAAAAATGCTAATTTTGTAGTCGTTATATAGGTACTGATATTTTTTGGTTTTTTGAATTTCTTGAAAAACCTTTTACTTATTGGTTGAAACAACCAAATCATGTAGAATTGAACAAGAAAAACATTAATCGAGAAAATTCACCGTCCTAGTGTACACAATAACAAAATTGCAGCAATGCTAATAATATAATTACTTTTGAAAGATTTATTTGTTATATTTTCGTCAATATTGACAAATTGCAATCGTACTGTTATTGAGACAATTATTTTCAGTTTGTTAAATATGAACCGATGTTAATTTCTTCTCCATCGCTACAAATAAACAACTTTGCCAGAAATAATAGAAACAAAACATTCAACAGACCACTAAAACTTCAAACAATCTAATTTTAACTCGGTTCCGCAGAACTTGTCAAAAACATTACTGAAAATACTTAATGCGCTGTAAAGTATTTTTTTATATATCGTTCTTAAGAAATTAATGCATAAGTTGTGATGAAATTACTATAAATAGTACATAATATTTGGACGGTTAGGTATCGTATTATTAAAGACAGAACAATTTTAGGAAATAGATATAGAAAGACAAATGATTGCTATGCTGAAATTTGCAGATGATATAGCAGTATTAACATCTAATAAGAAGAAGTTAGAGATAGCTTTAAATAAACGTATGAAAATAAATAAAAGTAAAACAAAAAGATTGGAGTGCAAGGGAAGACAAATTAGGGAAAGAACAAATATAAAATATAACAGAAGAAAAATTAAAAGCAGTCGCTAATTTTCGATATCTTGTAAGTCATATAATTCAGGATGGAAAGAGTAGTGAAGGTATAAAGCAAAAGATGACGCAGGATCGAGTCGCCATTAACAAAAAGAAGGCATTTCTAAGCTCGTGAACGGTTAATTTACAAATTCGGAAAAAATTCAATGTGTATATCTGGAGCGCGTTTGTGTAAGGGTGCGAAACGTGGACGCTGGTTGCGGGTGAAAGAAAAAGTTAGAAGCGTTTAGGTGTTACAGGCGATGATGAGAATACCGTGGATAGAGAAGATTAGAAATGAATAAGTATTAGAAAGAGTTGGAGAACAAAGAGCGTTATAAAAGTCAACAAAAAATACAAAAGTATCGACATGAGTGATATTTTGACAACTTATTCTGACTATTACATG